TTCTTCGTTTCCCATAAAATTAATTCCCCTCTTTTTATTAAGTTCCACTTGTACTACAAACTGATTTTTTAAATTTTGATTTTTACTGATGTTAGCCCAAGATGTAACAAAAAGATTTAGAGCGATTTTTAAGATGTACAATTCGCAAGATACATATACTTTAATCGTGAATCAGGATTAAATCTGGTGATAATGCAAGGGAGTGTTTATACTAGGAATTTTGCTTTGACGCGAAATGTATAGATGGACAGAATGACACAATGGCGATTGCATTTATTTATGTCAGACACGTTCTGTATTACTAGATCTTTGCTCTACGAAGACAGTTTCGAGAAATAGCGGGAATAATATCGGCCACGATGCGATGTATTAAGCCTTTGTGCCCCGGAAACATTTTAATTGATCTATCCTTTTTCAATTCAGTAATTCAAAACTGGATTTATGAAAAAAAGTTTAGGATTATTTTATCGTTACGTATTGTGAAGACGAGTTAGAAGACCAAGTAAACAATAATTGAAAGGCGCTTATGCAATGGCTTGCGACAAATTGGTATTTTTCATATGAAACGCAGCTACGATTTCAATTGTTCGATTGTTATCCACAAATTTCTATTATCCAATGTTTCCATAACTGATTAGTAGTATATTAAAATTTAATTAGTATTTATTAATTAGCATTAAAACTATACTATACAATATAGTCACTATAAATTTATACATCATAGTTATTACGTATTCAGTTAAAATCATATTCCGAAATGCTTAATTCAGTAAAGAAGATGCCTTATATGAACCAATAGACAAAACTGTTTTGATAATGGAATTTTCCGATAATAGGGCAATCACTTTTCCGGCATGAAATTTCACTTGTTCGAATACAGATTAAGATTAACTGAAAGTTCCTTTAAATATTTATGCAGCCTGTATCTTTCTAACTGCTAAATCATATAATTCTTTCAACGCAAGTAACTGAGTAGAGTTACATTCTTTTTTTATTTCGAATCATCGAAGCTCTTTTTCGAACGCTACGAATGCTTCGCCGTGAGAAGGCACTTCTCCGTTACCACTTTCGTTTGCTGTATCTATTTGTGTAAATATAAAAAAATTGTATGTTTAAGGATTTCTTACCGTCACCAGCATCAAAGAAATGAATAATTTTCAGTACCATGTTTTTGTTTTTTAATACCTGCAACTGTGGCTTTTCCAACACAGTCTATTTTCGCTAATACTGCTGCAGTTGCATCACTTCAGAGTCGTTTAATTCTGTCGTATTTTGTTAACCAGAATTCATTGTCAAATCGAATAAAACAAAGAATACATTATATATGAACACTAATAAAATATCTAAAATGGCTAAAACGGGAAAACGCATCCGTTACTGGGAAACATTATCCCGGAATTTCCTAAATACTAAATATTATAATATACCGGCAATTACTAATATAATACAATATTATTGTCCGGATAATACAAGTTCGAATATTGAGGTACCTAAATAAAGGAGGCTCCACCGTATGTTTAATATTTTTTCTTTCCAATACATTTTATTTACTACGTTGAAAATGTTTTTTATATAAAGAATAGAGTCAAAGGTTATTTAGCTGTCATGAAGAGGAATGGCGATTCGAAAAGGCGCTGCGAAACATTGAACTACACAATACTTTTAACGTTTTACCGTTTCTACGAATCTCGATTTGAATCTCTCCATCTCCCGCTGTCGATTTTCCTTTGCATCCCGCCTGGTCCTGTTTGCATAGAATAGAGGTCCGCAGGGAATTACGGCACAGAGGGAAGGATCGCAAGGTGCCACTCGTGACGGAAGGTACATATTATCCGGCGCGCGTCCACGCGACGACACAACGAAAGGGAAGTGCAAGGAAATTGAGCGTACGTAAAATTTCCGCTCAGAGGAAATACATGGAATCCTCGACGAAGCTTCTACCCTCTATCCTATATGCCGTGAGACTTGATCGTTTATTGCGATTGCACGACACAAGTGTGTGTCCTTGTAATCGAAATATCTTTTGCGAACATTTCCGTGTATAACCGTCGGATATTATTGCGATTTGGAATACCCAAATATTTGGAAAAGATTTATTTTTCCATTTCTTTGATTCAAGACGCTTTGCAGTTGGAAAAAGATATGTACAACTGAAGGACACCAAAGAGAAATTTTATGTTGTACAAGTAAATATATATAAAAGTAGTTGTTTACAGTTATATAGTTATATAATATAACATTATATAATATTATGTTATAACATATTACGTTATATAGTATAACGTCATGTACTATTACGTTATAACGTAACACGTATTATATTATATAGTATTACGTTGTAACGTATTACGTTATATAGTATTATATTATATAATATTACGTTATATGATATAGCGTTATAACGTATTACATTATATAGTATTACGTTGTAACGTATTATGGTATATAGTATAACGTTATAACGTATTACGATACATAGTATAACGTTACAACGTATTACGTTATATAGTATTACGTTACAATGAATTACGTTACAACGAATTATGTTATATAGTATTATGTTATAACGTATTACGATAGATAGTATAACGTTACAACGTATTACGTTATATAGTATTACGTTACAACGAATTACGTTATATAGTATTATGTTATATAGTATCACGTTATAACGTATTACACGATATAGTATTACATAATAACGTATTACGTTATATAGTATAGAGAAGCTCTGTAGCTCGAAAACCTCTACGTTCTTGTTCATTCTCTTCCGCTGTGAAAACATTCTGGAAGTGGAAAAAGTTACTTTAACTCGAATTATTTGCCACGTGCCCAGATGCGTTGTTTTATTTCTGTAACTCGAATTTAGAGCAACCAGAGCTGTACGGATCGAAGTCATGTTACGTGTTACAAGATGTAAGAAACTAATCGTTCGATATTGTATCCTTTCTTTCAACCGTTAGGAGTATCTCGAATAACGTAAAATGACATAAGCCCTATCTCCAGTTCTTCGCCTTTCGACCACGTGCATATCCGTGTAAGCTAATCGTTTTTCGCGTAATTATCATCGTCTCCTGCGCCTCTAACTTTCGCATCTATGTACGTCGAATAAAACGACTTCGAAGAGGAAGATTAACCTCTTAGGTACGGCTGAATTTTGCACGGAGCTGTTTCTTTATACAGCAGAGTTTGAGAATTACGCGTAAATAATACAGCACTGCAATGTGTGACGGATAATGCTGTTCCCTACGCAAGCACATTGGAACGAAGTTTTTGATAACTAAATTATGATTTTTTTTGAAGATATGATGCATATACTTTTAACTTTAATAATTTACTTTAATAATTAATAATACAATCGAGTGTGATATATTTTAAAGCACGGTACCACATAGACCCACGTCACAATTTCCACACTCATAGCGCGATAGTGTTTTTCAAATTGCTCTTCGTTTTCTATTTTCAAGCTACATTTTGAGGTTGATGATTCTAAAGAATTCTAAGGATACGGATCGGCATGTTAAAAAGAGCATCTAACAATGGTATATTTATATTAACAAAAAGAAGCAATTGATACCTGACACTGGCGTATCAAAAACAAAGACTATACATTCTGTCTGTATATTGTTAACACTGTTATAAAACGTTATGAGAGCAAAAGAAGTGTGAAGCAAGACAAATGAAAAAGATCATTTTCCAAACGGTCCAAGATCAAGGTCCAAACGGTGAGCGAATGAGTCATTAGAGTGAGCCACTATAGTGGCGCATCGTACCTAAGAGATTAAAAAACTAACACTCCGAAAAGGTGAACGTAGTTGTGCCTTCGTACGAAGCTTCGTATATATGTGGAATATTCGTTTGTTAAACCTTCTTTACTTAAAAAATTTCGATAAATCAGAATCTGTGAAATTCGAGTTACCGAGGTTCAATTATGTTTATGTTAGATTGGAAGTATTATGAGAAATACGAACATTCCATTAGTTCATACTCAATAAGATGCATTCATAAGGAATTTATATTTTATTATTAATTTATTATGTAAAGAGTTCATAATTTATCATTTTATCATAATTTATTTATCACGTTTACTATTTTGTATTAATTTATATATTCATTTATATTTTATGTATATTTATATATTTATATATTCATATTTTATTATTATTAAGAATATCCATAATTTAAATTACATCAGATATTGAAACTTGGATGTTACGCGGCATGGAACGCTCGACTTTCCCGAGACATGGCATCATTTAATTATACAAGTAAAATTCTCGCGTCACAATTATCGATGAGATATACGACCAACATAGCACGCTGTACATCCTCGTCCCGACGAGAATGCCTGAATGGCCTCGATCAAGCAGACCTCGTTTGCTCGATTCGATAATAATCAATCGGATGCGCCTTTCATTCGAACGCACTGAATTCGAAATAATTACCCTTCCTTTCCCACTGCCCTCCAATTTCTCGCTCTTTCTCCCTAGCGCTGTTTCATTGCAACATCAACCGTCCTGTAAACGTGATCACACGTTGCTCGCCACACGACGCTACTTGCTAATTGCGAAAACAAGCTGTATCGTGCTCGTATCCGGTCGTACAACTCGATAGAGCCTCGTCCAGACTTGTCGAATTATCTCTTGATTCAAACAACTCCAAACTAACTTACCGGATATACAAAAATCTGTCTATTCATTTCACTAAAAATACGCTTTCAAACTTCGATGCTCCTTCAGATTAACCACATTATATAAATTCATAAAGAAAAAGTAAAAAAATAGACAGCTTAGAAAACTGAAACGACCAAACGACATTGTCACATTTATAAAGCTTTTTAAACTTTTATAAGTTATCGATGTAACCATAACGATATTCAGTTGCTAAAAAATAATGTGACAATATTTTGGTATTCGTTTGCCTCTTAACCGACGAAGGATTAAAATACTATTTTCTAATTTTTCTAATTTTAATATCGTCTTATCAAACCTCGTACATACGCGAAATCACACACGAAGAACCTTTCTGCCCGCTGCCGCTTTTATTTCTTCTCTCCTTATTCTTTTTTAAACTAGGATTTAAGTCGTTTTGAAAATAAGCCGCTGGGATCGAACAAAATCCAGGCTACGATATCGAATATTTCAAATCCACGCAATCGCGCGGCTCGATAAGCTCGTTCCGGATCGAAAAGTCGGCTGGATGTTGGGGCTCTCGGCGTGCAAAGGTCGTTAGCAGAGTTTCGAGCGGTGCATAGCAATGAGCCTTGAAAAGGGGGTAGAAAACCTCCTGGGAATCCAGACACCCGTTACGTTTCGAGGCTCGTACGAAGCGGACGGGCTGGCCCGCAACACCGAGGGACCGGCTTCGGGACAAAACTGACTCATGGCAACCGAGATAATCGAACTCGTTACCGGCATTCTCCGGATTCGTTTCGTGAACGGAATAACGTATACGACACTCGTTTCCCAATTCCCGTAGAGTTCGACTGACGTCGTTCGATCGTCAACGAACGATCGAAATTTAATCATCGTTCTCTCGGCTTTGCGTCGAGCTTTAAGTGACACTGATTCGATCGTTCGCAAAGTACCAAACAGTGATACTAAGCGAGTGTTTCGTAAGCGAATCGATTAGTTAAAAACGAAACAGCTGCGCGCTGGTTAAGGTAAACTTGATAAGCATAGACAAACATGATATCTCACTCTGTGTAGGTTAATTTTTTAGCCTTTTGGCTGTTTGAAATCTGAAAGAATTTTATCGATGTTTCTATGTTTCAATCACGTGGTGCAGCGGTGAAATCGAACGAAAAATGAAAATGAAAAATGAGAGAAGATAATCCGTTTTATTAAGAAGAATGGATTTAATATATAATTTTATTGGTGGCTAAATTTGCCGATTATTTTTTGCCATATATTCATAATATAAGTTATTATATTATAATGATTATGATAAAGAGCTGTAGGTGAACCTTAAATCAGAATTAATCCCTTGACATTGACTGATAATAGTTCAGAATTATTCGAGATGATAGAAAGTTTTATACCAACTTGATCGTACCTTATTTTTAATTTTATACTCTGTTATCGGAAATTGGTGGGCTATTAATTTTGTCAAATAGTAAGTGCAAACTTGGAAACCTATCAATGTCAAAATGTAAATTTATGAAAAATATCATGTCTTAATGAGTATATTTTAGAAATTATAAGGTTGCTATAAAATGACACTCAACATCACAAAATGCAAAGGACGTTATGTTAAATGCACGATGGACGAAGTATTCTTTCTGACGATCGTTGAAGTTAAATATATTATTACTATTTTTACAGTCAACTTTACGTCAAGAGACGAAAGTAAAAAGATGAAACATAAATGTGTACAGAAAACATCTCCTTATTTATATGTATATGTGTACTCTTCTTTGTAAGACAAATCAGAAATTTTTCAGGAATTCTTCTTCGGATATCATGCAGTGAATATAACAAGACGGAAAAGAAAAAACAATAAAATAGCTAGCGCATTTTTGATTTTTATATTTTTACTTGAACTTTATTTTGCAATTTTTTAAAGAGGAAAACAGACGTGATAACTAAATTTTTCATTAGCGATATACCAATACATTACGTGCATATATACATGTACAAATATATAGTCGTTATTGAACGGTAGAGGTTCACTAATTTTCTCACTTACCTATGATTTGGTTGTTCAAACAACCGAAATTCACAAGCGAATGAGCAAATTCAATCGTACGTTTGCACGATTCGCTGCTCGTAGATATAATATCTCATAAATATCTTATAAATTTTGAAATGGTGCAATAGCAATAAATTTGTGACGCTTAGTTAATTCCTTACTTATTTTGTAAAAAGAATATATTTTTTAATAATTACAAAGAAGGTTCATCGAGTTTACGTACAAACTTTATAACTGAAAGTGATTATGATATCTCCATAATATGACCTCCAAACTACTTCGACATTACAAATCAGTTGCATTTATTGTATTTACGTAATCGTAACTATGCTTCGAAGCAATTAATGATCGTACTTAATGAACAGATTGTGCCAGTATGTTCCAGAGCATATATATAATAAATTGAAACTGAGTTGCTCTGTTTAATTTTCAGCTTCGTAATTATAATAATTTCTACCCAAGAGATGACTCGACGAAGATCTTAAAACTTTCCTTTAAACCGGAACAAGACCAAGCTAAATTAGCCGAAACTAAAACAAACTCTTCCGCGGATCGTACACGTTATTACGTGTTCAACGATCAGCCATACATCAACGCGAAACACGCGTAGAAAGCGTGTCACTCGACACACCGGTTGTCACATAAATCACTAGCATCCCGCTTCCTCGTTGTTGGTCATGAGTCAAGCGACGCGTGTTGATTCCACAACGTTGTTGGCTGTCCTCGAGCATAGGTCGAAGCACGCTGGTTAATGAAACTAAATACTCGAACAAGCGTGGCGAAAAAGAGAGGAGAGGCTGTAACTGTCCCTGTTCCTCCCTGGCTCCACTTGCCGGAAACATTTCGCAACGAAGAAGGAAGGGTCGAGTTGCGTTCGGTTCGCAGACTCGGTCTTGTTAGGCCGAGGCAAAAGGGGATTCTGATCAACGAACCGTGCCGGCCTTAAGGGCCCTTACTCCCATAGACACGCTTCGTTTCTCGATTGATTCTTTATTTTACAATCACCGTGACATCGTAAAGGCCAACGAATCGCATGTTGGAAGGCTCTTCTCTGTGCACGATGCACCCCTGAACTTGTTGAAACCCGACCGATCGATCCACTTTGCTTCCACTAACGTTTGCCGATCATCCGTCGAATTTTGAATTCAATTCAGTTCTCGTTCACATTCTTTCTGACGATTAGTGTATTTTATTTATAACCGTCATATGAAATATTATATTTATGTAATATTAGGTTGTCCGAAATGTTTCTTTCGTTTTATAAGGAAATAATAGACGCACAATGTCTTTTGTTTTATTTTAGTTTATTGAATTATGCACGAACATAATAATAGTAATAGAACGAAATGGATCATACGTAATTCAATAAAATAATATAAAACAGAAATTATTGTCTATCAATTATCACCTTATGGAACGAAAGAAACTTTCGGACAAATATTTTAATTGAATTTTATACTTATTATATGTAATATTATATTTATGTAAAATTATGTAATATTATACTGTTGAATGACATTTGCAACAAACATTAATCGGGTCATTCTTGTGCTGCAAATATTAATAAATTAGATTGAAATACAAAGTTCAAGCATATCCTTTAGATAGTATATCTTATCTTTTATGTTTTATAGATTGTTGTATTTTGAAATGATCAATTAGGTTTCTAAAATAGGCAACTTTTGAAGACCGTGATGAGCTACCAGTAAACATATGCAGGTAGCTTGTAATTTATGTCCCTTGACTGAAAAACAGATGGAATATAGAAGGAACATATATAGAAGGAATATATATAGTATAACATAATATATAGAAGGAACATAGAGGGAAACAGGACGTTTGAAAATCACAGCGATTTTAGACGCAATTTTAATGGAAAAATATAGGCAGCCCTTAAAGTCAGGTGAGCAGTACAGTACCGCGAGTAATTATAAAATGAACCCCATCTATAGATTTTTTATAATATTAAAACAAAAATTGACAAAATCTTGTATATTATAATAATTATAATTTTATATTATATATTTCGTATTATAACATAACATAAAACTAGAGATACAACAAACAAAAGCTTTTTCCTCTAAAAGACTGGAAAAAAATGAATTTTCTCTTAAAATTATGTTTTTGGTTGTGAAAAAATATAAACTCAACGTTAATTTTGTTACCTTTGCGTGTAATATTTATTGGGTTTCCCTTTATTTTTCATCACGTCTATCAATCTGATAAGTACACTATCAACTGACTTATTTAAAGTTTCGTCTCAAAAATCCGCTCAAGTGGATTTTATTCTTTTTTCAAGTTTCACGATATGTTCTATAGGTGGCTTCTCCTGATCATAAGTTTTTCTTGCTAAAATTCTTCACAGGTTCTCGATCAGATGGATAATAATTCTATTTCGAAATCTTGAAATCACTTTTTTGTAGTGGCAACTGTATGAATAGGAACATTGTCTCGTTGAAAAATTGCCTTTCTGTGTTCTATTTCGGTTATGAGAGGCAATAACTCGCCATGCAAAACGATTTAAAACAAAACGATTTCACTTAAAATATCTAGGCATGATCAGTGATTTGTCAGAGATGACTCTGACTGACACCATGATTTTTCATTGAAGCAAAACTTCTTCTGAAATTCGCAATATTGCAATTTGTGATCGATTGAAAATTGATAAACTTTCGCTCGGAACATTTTTCAGAAACGTCTGAAAAATCGTGAGGACTAATTTTTGGACCACCTATAAATTGGACCTCTATAAATATTCACAGCACCGTATTTCTGTAAATATTCGTAAAACGTAAAGATTTCGTTCCTCCAGCGATTCATGCGCGTGATATTCCGATATTTCTAGCGATAAATAGTATAAAATGACCTCGACCGGCTGATAAGTGTGCCCTTTAACTTATCGAGCACGAAGCTCTTCATGTTTGTTCTGTTTAAACATTTTCAACAACGATCGTTGCAAGCATTCTGCTACAGTGGTAAATGTCAGGACCTCTGCGATTAACCTTTAAACAACGTTGTAAAAAATCAACCGTGAGCCATTTTGAGCGAATAAATCGATCATTCATTCCGCTCCGTTTCCCCTTTCCCATGAATTAACATAACGATTGACTTTTATCGGTGATTTTTATCACGATAATCACCAATTTTCTTGTTCTCACATTACAGAAGGAAGCCACTCTACCGAATCTTCCGGTCCCGGATTTGGAGTCAACCTTGCAGAAATATTTGACCCAGGTCGAGGTAATCGCTCCGAATCATCTGCCGAAAACCAGGAGCCTGGTGAAAGCTTTCCTTTCTGGACCTGGACCGAAGCTGCAACAACGTCTTTTGGAACGTCGACAAAAGGTGTCCAACTGGGTAAGCGAATTTTGCCACTTTTCGTATCTTACGATGGCACAGAATTCTTATTATTATTGCAACTGTTCGTTCTTTGTTGTGACCTATATCGAATACAGTTGAATTTTAAAGTTAACGTACGAAGCAAAGATACCTTCGAAGACCAACATAAAATATTTAAAGCAAAGGCGAACTTTTCAAACGAGAACATATTCCAGATACATGCTACACTGCTCAAAACAATTGTTCCTTGCATTGTTATGTCGCACGCAATACAGTTATTAAAATGTATTGCCTGTACTATACAAAGTTGAAAATATCTGGGTAATTTTTGCATTTGATATTAGAAAAGAGATGTTGAAATAAGTATTTTCTAACTCGTCTGTTCTCAACTCTTTGTTGTTTTACTACACCGATAAATGATTAGAAGATGATATTGCGATGCTGATTTGTATCGGCCTTAAGGTTCAGGGTTCTCTTGTGGCAACAGTAAAAAGATGTAATTCTCATGAATTTTTTCTAGACT